ACCTCATTAGATTAATAACCTTTACCTGTCCCTCCAACCTCTCTGGTACTGCCCCTTGAGCTCACTGGACCATGCCTTCCCTGCAGCTGAGCCAGGGGGAACCACACCTCCGCCACAATTAGTTCATTTTGAATTTGATGGCAGCAACACGTTAAAAAAACCAAACGGTTGAGACAGGGTCATGTTTATCACTGTGTAGCATCCCTCTTCTCTTAATAACAGCATGTAAATTTCTGGTGATTGAGGACAGCAGTTACTGCACTTTTGGGAGAGGAAAGTTGTCCCATTCTTGTCTGATAGAGGATTCTAGTTGCTCAGCAGTCCTGGGTCTCCTGTGTCACATTTTTCATTTCATGATGCTCCAAATGTTTCCAGTCAGTTCAACACTGGTTTAGCATCGTCTTGCTGAAGTAAACAAGCATTCTCTGAAAAAGATATTATCTGGATGGGAGCATATGTTGCCCAAATACCTGTATATATACCTTTTAGCTGTAACTGTGCCTTTCCACATGTGCAAGCTGCCAGTTCCATAGGCACTGATGCAACTCCATACCATCAGAGATGCAGGCTTGTAAACTGAAAGTTGATGATAAGCCAGTTGGTCCCTCTCCTCTTTAGTCCAGTGGAGGTGGCATCCTTGTTTTCCAAGTGGAATTTCAAGTTTTTCACCTGATCACAGGTTTCCACTTCTGCCTTAAGTTACTTTTGTGGATGTAATGGTGAATTACACACAGTGATTTTAAGTGTTCCTGAGCCCAAGCTGTGATTCCCATGACATGTCTGTTTTTAATGCAGTGCTGCCTGAAATTCTGTATTGATTTTCAGCTGTTTGACTTGATTGGAGATTTTTGTTAGAATGTCAGATTTTTTTAAAATGATAATGAGTAGTTCCTCCAACGGTTTCTGTTTAGTACCACTTACATTTCCAGCCTTTTGTTGACGCTGTCTCAACTTTATTAGGATGTGTTGCTGCTGTCGAACACAAACTGAGCCAGTTTTTGTTTTTTTTAAATGAGTTTGTTGGAACATTTGACATGTTTTCTATGTTCTGTTGTGAATAAAAAATGGTTTTCTGGGATTTGCAAATCATTGCACTTTGCTTTATATTTTACACGGCGTCCCAGCCTTTTGGAATTGGGGTTAAAGTTTTAATACAAGAACATCTTTGTAATGTGTTCAGTTTCTGAGCTGAGAAAGAAGTCAAATATAAATGTTATTACCAGGGATGAACCAACTTTTAAAAGAACAATTTGATCATAGCTGTTTGTTGTTGTTGTGTGTCATTGTTTCAAAGTCTGTGAGCCCTTTACCACACTGTTTTAAGCACAAATTCAATCATATTAACATATGAAGCTGAGCACATTCACCTATGGCTGAGGCCAGCAGTCATAGGTGAATGTGATCTGCGGGTATATAGTGAGTAGGCATCAAGTTGAATACTGGTCACAAAATCATCGAATCCCTCATTAAGGGCCTGAATGAAGATGTGTTCATCTCCACAGGACACACCTGGATCTGGCCCTGGATTTAAACCCTGATGAGTCCGGCTTAGTGGATGCCTCCTCACTGAGACGACAGGTAATGTCTCATATGCTTGCTTTCTGCATGAATGAAAAGGGGCAGGTGATGCATAATTTATGTATTGTCCCAATGTATTTATCTTACTTTCAGGTTTACGGTAAACTCTGATATAATGTATAGATATGGCTCCTTTTGAAGGATGCCGACAGAGCTGCACGCAGCAAGTGTTCAGTTACAGTTATTAGAC